TACGCAGATTACATTGTACTTCTGTGTGCACCTCTGCCTACCCCTTCAGGGATAAAAGGTGTGATGTTATGTTATGTAATCTATATATGAGAGCAAGAGAGACTTTTTAGGATTTATCCTAAGTAGTGGTCAGATGATCGCACTTCTTCCTCATCTTCACTTTTTACAATAATATAGTCGTTTTGAATTTGAGCAAAACTTTTCGTCTAGATGTTAATATTATATTTCTTTTTTTTAGATCACATGGCTGGATGGAAACCAGCAAGTTATTAAGAAGCCAGTCAAAAGTACAGTCGAACTGTTACCTGATGGCCAGCGATATATAACAAGGTTAGTCTACATTTTATGGTAAACAGCCAGCCATTTTTGCCATGAATTCAATTCACATCATAATTTGTTAACAGATTTTATAATCAAAATCAAGATAGATAATTATGTATAGCTTGGCAGTTCCAAAAATATCTTTTTTTGACTACCTGAAAAAAGCAGTTGTGAACTTACATGCTAGAATGTTATTGTGTCTAAGTCTCTTGCTTCTAGCCAATAAAACTTTGGTAATCTAAGAAATTATAATATTAGTAGGACAGTTATTAATAGATAGTAATTCAAATGAATCTATCACAGGTCGGTGTTGCGGTTAACCCCAACGAAGGGTCACCACAATCAAACTATTACGTGTCAAGCACAGAACACAGCAGACAGAGCTCCTAGGATGGCCACTGTACATATAGAGGTAACTATCATAATTATCTGGTCAAAATTACGATTTTATATCTAAAGTTTTAAAGAAATAGACTCTATTCTATATAGCCTTTTCCAAATGAGGTTTCATATCAGATTTGACTAATAAATGACATGTAATCATACTTCCACAGCTGGTTATGGAAGACCACGATAGTGTCATGTTTTTCGAACATTCCATATGTTACGTATTTATTTTATAGCGAGACTTTTCGTTACACTAAGAAGTCTAGATGCTCAAAGAGATGACCCATCAATCCAAAAGAAAGTCCTTTCTAAATCGGTTACCATTTACAGGTTGGATACCAAATCAAAGACGTCTTTTTGCATCTATTTACTCTTATGGACTAATGGAACCACATCATGAATTCAAAAGACAAAATCCTCATTTACAAATTCTATTCTAAACTTAATTTCTCTTTCAAGGTCAAATACATACCAAAAGTGAACATATCAATCAGCTCCGGAGCTAATAGGGGCAAGATACCTGAAGGGTCGGAGCTGAGAGTCCGGTGTGATGTGGATGCAAACCCTCCTGCTCAGTTCTACCGGTGGTATATCAACAATAACCCTGTGATAGGGGATTATGCTGATGAGATGGTGAGTGACCTTTCACAATTATAATTAGAATAAGTGGTAACAACTAATATGCAGTTCCATGGTTTGTATTTTGATGATCCAAATTACGAACTGATAGATTTGATAGGAAACAATGTCATAATTCTCTCGCTTGGATTTTTGTAGTTTGGTCGCAAACAGTTTAAAGGACAATACAGACTGTTCATCCTTCACTGTCTAATTTTGACTTCAGTATCATTTTTAGCAGCTTACCTCATCCTAGTCTTAGGTGATCTGTTTCTTTGATGGATGGAAAGAAACCAATTTTACTGAACTTTACTAAAGAAATCCACAATTACACACGTTAGACTTATCCCCTGGAATATCGTATGCCTCTGATATGAAAGTCTGAAAGATGTGTGTGAGATACACGTCAACAGCCTATAAATGCCCACTGCTGAGCAAAGCCTCTTCTCTCATGGAGAAGGTTTGAGCTTTAATCATCACGCTTGCTCAATATGGGTTGGCAATTTCTAACTTATAATTGGAAATTATAAGCCCAGGTTTCTTCACGATGTTTTTTCTTCACCGTTTGTCAGTGGTGTCTAAATAATCTTAGAAAGTACATATAACTCGGATAAAGTCACATTGATACTTGCCATTGGTAGGTCTCAAAACCGCACTCTCATTCATGAGAAGCGGGCGTGTTAAACCTGCGGGCCACCTCGACCACATGACGCACCAATGTATATTTTATTGTGTCCAATGTCCATATACCGGCGTTCAATAAGTTAAGTCTTAAGAAGCCATTATTTATTCCTGCACCAATTACAAGAGCATTATACTAAGTAACACAGTCTATGAGCGGAAGGACGACAATAATGTCTAGCGTGCACGCTTCACAGCTGAGGAGATTTTGTAATAAATGTTGCTTGCACACTGTAGGATAAACTGTATGTGCTAGACAATGTAAACCGTGCTTACTACTGTAAGTTGAGACTTTAAAATCTGTGTAAATGGTAGCATACATTAAACCTTTCATTGTCTTGGAGATGTAGACTACACTACTACAGTCGCTTGCATGTTAAAGTTTTGGTTGAATACATTTATGACTATCGTAGCTAACACGACCTTCAAACCTTCAAGAAAAGAGCGTATTCCTTTTTAAAAGGCCGGTAACGCACCTGTGATTCCTCTGGCGTTGCAGGTGTCCATGGGTGGCGCTGATCGCTTACCATCAGGTGATCCGTCTGCTCGTTTGCCTCCTATTCCATAAAGAAGCTTTGTATCTCTCATAAAATCAACTAATTCGGAATTGACGACTTCATATACGTCCTACGAGTGGTCTTTACAAAAGCTTACCTAACAAGGAATCGCAGTGGTATACTGTTTTAAAAAATGACTGGAAAATGAATCTGTCTTGATATCCAAAGACGGCGGCATGCTTCTCCTGTGGTACCTTCCAGATAACTGTCCTGCAATCAGCTTGAGATAGACAGGAGGACGTTATCGTTGCTATGTCACAGTTATTTTACTCCTATTTGTCTGTTTTTTTCATTGTATAAAAGCAGATCTGAAAACCGGACTTTTCTGTTGCTTAGTAGTAACTCTTGATTCAGTTAGATCAACATGGCGTCCTTAGTCTACTCCTCCAGTAGATAAAGGACACGATCTATCCAATCATTGTCAACAATCTCTTCAAAAAAGACATTAACCTTCTACATTAGATTAGAATAGGTATCTACTCAACAATGTACTTCCACAGACAAATAAAACAAGAACAACAAAGCAACATAATCGTTAATTAGGCAACAGAGAGCAATTCGCTCTAAAGTCAACGTACATACGGTTCCATGTCAAACTATATAATCCAGTATATCTTGGTCGCCCTTTAAATGATCTTTTCGCACATTCAAAGACCAGTTTATATTGGATTTACATAGCTTGATGTGTAGTGAACAACTGAATTTGCCGGGTGGCGCGTTCATGCATTAACTATAACATTATGCATCGTACTGCTAGGTAGACACAACACATCAAGCTACGCAAAACCAGTATAAACTGAACGTTAAATGTGCGCAAATGTCGTACATAGAGAGATCATGATAAAGTGGTTTTACGTAGCTCAATGTGTACATGGTGCACAAACTTATGCAGTAAATCAAAATATGCATTACTGTCTAATTTAGAACAGGTCTGTTTGTCCCTTCTGTTATGGGTTGTTTACGATAGTTATGGCTAATTTGATTTATTTGAACTAAGGGCCATACTTTTGTTGAGACGGCATAACCATTTACATTTCGGTCGCCATCGCTACTGATTTCACGAAAGTCATAACTGACTTAGGAAATTCACATTTGACAGAGAAGGGGTAGGTCACACCCGGAGCTGCGGACAACCTTACGGGTTACCGGGGCTCCGACTCAAAACAGAAGTAAAAAAGGGTGGGTTTTAGTCAGTAAGAATCTGACACTACCTCTCAGTTCACTCAAGGTTGGAGAAGGCATTTGATAATTTTCTCCCCGCAAAAAAAGACTAGTGGCGATCTTCAACCCACTTGTCAAATATGGAGACTTGTCAAATACAGCAAAACCCTTGTTTTTTTTTATATTGGCCTATACTCGGCTTCTCCTGTGTCGTGGGTGCGTTTACAAAGATACAATATCACATAAACATGATACCCAAACCCGACGCCATGCAGGAATCAAACCCGCTACACGTTGCGCGGTAGCTGGTTGTCCAACTACCGCGCCAAGTCAGTCAAGGGTTCAAAATAACTTATCAGATTATCTTATCAAACTTATCTTGTTGCAGATCATCTTCAATGTGACTCGAAAGCACCACAAAGCACAAGTCAGGTGTGAAGTCAGCAATTCCGTTGGAAAAAGTGATGGGAATATCACCCTGGAAGTTACCTGTAAGTATCACCTTAAATGATATTTTCGTTTGTACTCAAATTGCATGGTTGATTCAATGTCATCCAGTATAGAGACAGTATGGCAACAGCTTCAAAGTTATGACTCAGCTTAAATTACAATTTTGAAATTAGAATTCTTAGCCAAATACATATTATTTTGATTTGAAATGGCCAGTACTGCAGAACAGCAATTTTATAGGTCACATAATATTATCCATAAGATTGACAATTTCAATTTTTTATCTGTAGTTCATTGATACAGTTTATTTATGGGAAAGTGTAAAATACATAATTACTGAAGACTGCCTCGTTGGCCGAGTGGTCGCAAGTGCGACTGCCGGGCAAGGGGTCTCGGTTTCGATTCGCGGATCAGGCATAGTATTACTGGGTTTTAAAAAATCTCAGTAGTAGCACGGAGTCTAGAATTATGCTCGGTATATGGCAGTAGTTATGAGTCATAACATAAATAGTGAAAAGTGGGTGTTACATTGTACAGTGGCATTAAGAGCCGTAATGTGCACCTCAGCCTATTCCTTCGGGGATAAAAGGCGTGATGTCATGTGTGTGTAAAATACTTACTGAAAAAAAAAAATACTCTCGCCCAAACACTGGAATTACCCAAACAATTATTTCAGGGTTTTATTATTTACACACGTCATGATCCGGTTTTCTAGTGGAAGAAATAGCCGCGTTGTTTATACCGATGATACAACACCATAACATGCGTGCGCGCACCCACTACTTGTGACGTCATGACACTAAACGCTGATTGGTTGAAGAGGAAAATGTTTGGGAAATTGAAATTTGGAATGTTGTGGTTTTTTGTAAAACTATGACGTTTAATTGACATTGTGATTGTTTGGTGACATGTAGATACATTTTTCTTTTTCAAAGTCAAAAAGTTTCGAATCTTATATCTTATACTATTATATAAAGCGGAAGAGTTTGTTTTTTTTGTTTGTTTGTTTGAACGCGCTAATCTTCGTAACCACAAGTGTGATTTGAATAATTCTTTTTGTATCGGATAGCGCATTTATCGAGGATGGCTATAGGCTATAAAACATCACGCTACGACCAATAGGAGCTGAGCAGAGCGTGTGAAATCGCGCGGATGTAGCTCATAATAAATAATTGAAAAATTTATAAATGATGGTAATAATACAGGGTGTCTCTGAAGTCGACGATCAAATGGCACCAGGTGATAACACATAATTCATTGTCACTTAGAGACTATTACTATGATTTATAATTTTTTCAATATTTTTCTGATTACTGTTGGAACCTTGCCGATCATCTGGTACCATTTGATTATTCACTTAAGGGACTCCCTGCACATACAGTGTTCTTTATTTGCGGCATCTGCATGAATCTTTATCAGAAACTATGCTAAATGTACTTTAACTCCAAGTTCACTCCAAGAAACGAGAAACGATGGAATACCATAGAGTGCACAGTTTTTATGTGTTCAATACGTATGTCCGATTCCATAAAGTTCTCATTCCCAATCAGGCGGGTAATTTTACATATTGAAAAAATACTTTTGTCCACAGACCCACCAACCTTCAGAACGAGGCCACAGAACGTGGAGACTGACATTGGCTCCAGTGTGGTACTGAGCTGCGATGTGGATGGCCAGCCTCAGCCGGAGATCAGGTGGCTATTCCACGAACCTGGACGGATAGGGGTAAGTGAATACCATGATGGCAATGTTAGTTAATATCTCTTCTTATTAAAGCCACTGTTGAGTTATTGGGTGTACATAAGAGAAAAACGAATATAAAGGAATGTTATATTAGTTATCGCTAGAACTGGGGTATGTAATTTTACTTGTCTGCTCCCTTGACGCGGTGACTGGGCAACTGGTTGCCGCAACGTGTAACAGGTCCGATTCCTGCACGAAGCAACTCTTTGTGTGCTCCACAAATTGTTCTTTCGTGTCTGGGTGTCTTGTGTATGTGGAATCGAATGTTTGTAAACGAACCCACGATAAAGGAGAAATACTTAGTGTTGGACAAGATTAAAAAACAAATACATTTTACATTTACAATTTTTTGAGACATTTATACCTCTACAACAAGATTATACTTGTCTTATAATCTTGTTTGTACAAATTATATTATGATTTTGGTTTTATTTTCACTCAATATGTCAACTGTCCTGGTTTTTAAGGTTATTCATTTACCTAGAAGCATATAACACTTCTTGTCTTTCTTAATACCTGCCTAGATACGCTTCCGTATGCCTAGACTCCGCATATATTTACATGATTTACTTGATGCCAAAGAATCCCTAAATCCCCAACGATCCTCAAACTCCTAATCCCCAAAAGGCCGGTAACGCACTTGTGACGCAGGTGATTCGTCTGCTCGTTTACCGGCTTATGCCATAAAAAAGATCAATTTTTTTCACGATTTACAAAATTTAATACTTTCAGTTATTCACTAAAGTGTGAAGTGTGTCTGTAATCTTTTAAAATATTGCGTCAAACCTATATGTATTCGTCAGTATGACTAACACTCTATCTAAACGCATAAACATGTGCTAACATTAGATCAGTCATCTCTTTTGTATTAAAAATATTACTGACTGAGATTTGAAATATAATATTTTAAAATCTAACATTAGCTTTTTATCCTGGTGTACCATTGTAAGGCGCTGTTCCAAAATTGTAATGTCGAAGTATTTAAATATTCGAAAAGTTTACACAAGAATACTGCCATCAAATAAAATAAAAAATGCATATCTAAAACACGAAACAGACCTGTCGCGGAGAACCTAACGGGTAACTGGGGCTCCGGCTCGACGTGCAGGAGAAGGAACGGGGTGGTTTTAAGTCAGTAAGAGTCTGACACTCCCTCCCGCCTCACCCAGGCGGGAGCAGTCATTCGATGATTTTCCCCCCACGCGAACGTGACTACCTATGACCGACCTAGAAAATCAACCCAACAATGAACTCTGAATATTTAGTGGACCAAATATATCTTCGATCCAATTTTACAAATCAGACAGCATTATTTGAACATGTAATATTTCAGCAGGTCAAAGGAAAGGCTCCCAACTTGAAGGTCTACGTGAATGCGGAGACAGCTGGACGGTACATCTGCAAGGTCATCGAGGAAGGTTACCCTGAGATTGAAAGTGAAGCTACCATCTTCATTAAGAGTAAGTACCATTTTATTTTATTCTTTTGTGAGACAGTTGTAAAACAGTATTTTTAAGACTCTCACGTAACTGTTTGGTAAATGATGTTCAATATTGTCGTGGTGGCCCGGAGGTTAAAGACGCCTGGTTCTGATGCATGAGGACGCGGTTTCGAAACTTTTTCCGAGTTATATGATGTACTTCTTAAGATTATTTAGACACCACTGACAAACGGTGAAGGAAAATTTCGTGAGGAGAAAGTTCGTTTCAAATCGCTAATCCGCATTGAGCAAGCGTGGTTATTAATGCTCAAACCTTCTCCGTGTGAGAAAGGCCTTTAGTCAGCAGTGCCAGCCACTTATAGGCTGTTTATGTGATGTGATTGTCAGTGTTGGGTATATAGTGAGCAAACCACAAAACATAAAATAAGAAGATAAAATAAGAAAATTTGACCATGAATTTTGTTTGAGTGTGTATATAATTTAAGTATTTATGCTATTAAACATCGGCGACATAGAATTCAGTTTTAGATAGGGCCTATAGTTAAATATTTTTATAATATAAACTTTGAATAGTATACAGTCGTGATTTGAAAGAATTCTATGGATTTTAAAAATAAAATCGTTTACTTTTGCAATGAAAAATACATTATTAGAAATCTAGACGATATTTCAAATGAAATTATTTAGAAAAACGTTTGCTTTTGTTACTTTTATTTAAGACAGACATGAAAATCTATTGAAAATAACATTCGATTCACCTTCAGCTTTGAAGAACTGTTATGAAGTTCATTTTGCGCTACATTTTTTGTATCGATAAAGTTTATGTAAGACTTTATAAGAAGAATTATTCGCAATGGCAAAAAAATCATTATCACAATAAGGTCGAACCATAAAAACTTTTTTGTCAACATTTGACCCACATCAAGGCCAGACAAGGTCATGTTTTAGTAAACTACTGAACGCTTAAACTAATAAATACAAACAAAACGTAAAAACAAATAAGCAAAAAATAACTATTATAAGTCATACCTACTTATAGTTTACGCACCCACTGATTAGTGAAAAGTCGGTGCTAAAGGTGGTTAGTGCTCCAGAGACAGAACCTCCTCACAATACGTGCCGTTTCAAAGAGAACTGCTTTCTGTATCAGGCCCTTGATCCATCAACTTAATGTCTTCATTATTATTATATTAACATTTGCCTGACTTGGAGATTCGAAGCATAAACTTTAAGTGCAATGAAACAATAAAAAAACACGAAATCATAAAAAATATTTTCTTTGCCATAGGTGCTCCAAATATCCTATCAAACCGAACTCAGTTTGGTATGGAGGGAGAAAGTGTGAGGATAGAATGTGCTGCACGATCAGTTCCGAAGCCTGATGATATCAGATGGTACTTTGAGGGACGGGAGATCAGTGTTATCCAGGATCCGGTGAGTACAGTTGACAACTACTTCAAGCTATTAGCTTTAAATTGTTTTTTTTTTATGTTTGAGGTGTTATGTACCTAGTACCTGACGAACTATTAATACGTACGAATTAATAGGACCTCATAAACCTAAAGCATCCTGTAGAAACACTGTTTGGTGACTGTTTAACTGAATTCAAGGCGTTTGTCATGGAATAAGCCGGTGAACGAGCAGACAGATCACCTGATGGTAAGTAATCGGTGTCGCCCATGGCCACTTTGAACACCAAAGGCGAAACAAGTGCATTCCTGGCCTTTTGGGGGATTAAGAATTTAGGGATTGTTGGGGATTCAGAGATTGGGGTGATTGAGGAAGGTGGGAGGTAATGGAACCTCCTAGTGGTTTTTTTAAATTTTTGAACAAAATGGTTTTAAAGATATCTTGCACAGAAACAAATCACCAACTCTCATTACAATTGAAATTACTCAGAAATAAACATGAAGGACCGTAGATTTTAACTACTTACGATAGGAAACTAACTAATAATTCTCACACAGGACTACGCGACCTTGGAGGAGACCTTACCAGATGGTGTGATTAAGTCCAGCCTGGTGATCAGAGCCAGTCAGTCCAGACACTATGGGCAGTACAACTGCAGCGTGACTAATGAGTATGGAAACGCCAATGCTGCTATCATGCTGAAGCCTTTGAGTAAGTATCATAGATAGAGTTTAATATTGTTAAAAACTATCTCTAGTTTATTGATTAGATTGCTTCCTTCATTGAATCGTTGCAATATAACTGCTACTGTTAACATTTTGTGTAAGAGTGAGATAAAGTAATATAGTACTTTGTTTTTAATTTTGGAAATTATGGAACCAAGTAATCGTACTAGGCTGTCGCCCAAACATTTTAACTAGTGATATGAAATATTCTGTAGCTAAAAAAGAACAAATTCTCAACCAAAGCTATTACTGACGATTTCTAAATTTAAACACGCAATAAAACTTTACTCAGTTGATGAACTTGATACATAAATCTGCAATATACAACCAGTAATACAGTTCCTAACAAACATCTTCTTTGCAGAAACCCTACCACTATACATAATCCTGATCGGCGTGACATCTGGCATCGTAATATTCTCTGCCTTCATCATTCTGGTCGTGGTCTGCCATCGCAGGAGACGGAAGAAGGGCCAGATGAATGAGAAACCAGATGTGACTGTAACAACTGGAGATGTTTATAATAAGGAGAGTGATAGGAGCTCTAATATCAGTGATCTTAAGCTGCAGCTGCCTCAAAGTGATGGGAGCTATGAATTGGTAAGTTCTGGAAGTACATACATACATAATATCACATCTGACACCCATGGCCCCTCTGCCTACCCAGGCAAAGGCTATGGGACGCCGATTGATTCTTGTATACTGTTTTCACTTCATTAAGTTATCAGTCTTTTGATGCATGCTCGTCGGTTAAGAAGAAAGAAAGCAGAAGTAAATGATGATCTTAATAAATGTGATCTGAGAATTTGTCTGTAACTTTAGCACCCAAAATTAAATTAAAGAATTTTGTTTCGTTAATAATGTTAGGTTAGGTATTAAAAATACATGACATTACTTTTTTTGTTGTAACTTTTGTTTTTGTCATAATAGCTTAAGTAAACTTCACTTTGTTTGGTTTGTCCAATTAATCATATCTTGAAGAGCAGGAGATAATATTTTTTTTCCAAAATTAGGTTCAACTTCATCATCATCGTCAACATTAGCTAGTTTTCGCCTTCTACAAGACGAAAATACATAACTACTCTACTCTCAAATTCAGCTACGAATATTTGTGGAAATATTATATTCATTGCGTTTGGCGTACCTACATCAAAAATAAACATCTACAATACCACTATCCTTCCCAGGACTACACAAGCTCCGATCGTTCAGACAGCAAGCTGCATGCAGGTCTACCATTAGCTGGACCTGTGCCTCTCCCCAACCTTCGACATGATGATCCTCTGATGCAGTTCCGATATAGCAACGATTACTCCGATCCAACGTACAGTGATCCTTATTTTAAGGTGGGTTAAGTGTTATTATTGTTTACATTATTTTTTGAAGTGACTGTCAAATGTTTGTGAAAGTAGTTTTTGAAAATATGACTCTTAAGTCTTAAGCTTTAAAGTAGTACTAAGATATTTTCTATAGAAGCTTACAATTCTATTCACAAACGATATTTTTTTGAATAAAATATAACGTCAAAGCTATTCAATTCATAAAAATATAGTGAATTTATTGTATAGCTAAACGGCCTTTAACCATTTAAACGTAGTCTGTTGTAAGTTTTCAAGATTCTAAGTGCTCAGACATTCTTTCAAATTTCTTATTTATGGACGTTAAAATGTTTAATATTAGAGGTAATAAAAAATAGTTTTCTAACAATTTAGAAAATCATTCGCACCATAAGAATTAATACTACAAATAATTATCGTGGGACATACTAAATTAATTAAAATCGCGGGTTACTTGCGTGAAAATATTGAGAAAAGCTCTATTAGTTTCGAGCCACAGAAGGGGCACTTCCTCATAGGCAGCGTGCGCGATACGCGCAGCCTACTAATTAGCCGAGCATGCTGCTGTAGTACCACAAATCGTCACAATCTACGGTCGCATTCACAAAAACGACCCTATCAGACAATAGCAAAGTAATATTTTGAGTGCCTAAATCAAAATCGAATATAGAAAGTAGCAACTCAACCGAGCACTTTAGCATACCATAATATTTTTTATTTTACCTTTATATCATAAAGAAAACCTCGGCTAATACCACATCAAAGGAAAAACATATTTTCGCAAGCTGAAATTCAGATCAAACTACAAAAGCGAAAAAGAAAGCAATTTGACAGTCACAAGTTATCTGAAATAATACCTTTTGTATGTAAACAGTAAGAAAATGGAGACAGAAAATCCATTTTGGACAAAATGTGTATTTCTTTTTGTTCTTTACCAAAGTAGACTTAATATATAATTATCTCGTCAAAAGCTAGGAATTAGTATTGGTATTAATTGCTTCCATCCATGTAGTTAGTTCTTACTTATTAAACAAAATTATTTACAGTCTTTTGGCAACGCAAAATTAAAAAACAATTAAACCTTTTTTTTAAGTTTAGATAATAATATGTAACCAATTTAAATTGTAATCTTTTTTTAAAGATTACAATTCAAAATGGCAAACAACTTTGACATAATAATTTTTTTTCTATAAAATGGGCACCAATCAAAATGGATTTTCTGCATTTACCTAACAACGTAACCTACAGCGGTAAAATAAAGGTGGTATTACATGTTTCATGGCAGAGCCCCGCGGGGTACGTGTACGACTACCCACAAGGGTACGCCCCTCCCCCCCACCTCCGCGTACAGTCACCCCCCCTCGAGCCTCCTAGTAGGTAAGTACATGATTATTTTATTTTTATTTTCTTTATTGTGAGAGTTAAAAGGGGAATTAGGGTTGTCACTAACTTGAAAATAGGTAAAGGTTTTATTGGAGGGTCCATATTCGAATGCTTTTGTTTTGAATTGGTTTTGTTCGTGATTAAAATTTCAAAATCATTTGATATTTTTCACTAATAAATAATATTTACTAGTAATACACTACAAATAATAAAGCCCCACGTTTAAACTACCATCTGTTATAATTTTGAAAATTATAATTTAATACAAGAAAAAATAGGGTTGTAATTATTGTATTATAAACTAACATTAAATAAATGTTAGTTTAAATTGTATTTAAAAAAAATATATGGGCATATCAAAACAGATTCAATGTCTACCTAATTTAAAGTAGCTACTGCCAACCCTAACAAAACTGGTAAAATGCGGTTATTTTTTGGTTTAGATAGTTTGTGTGTTTAAAATGTATTTCTTATTTAACTATGAAATGGAAATCCGATTGTGTTTATAGTATATTTTTGTATTGTAAATATTAAACTAGAAAATGGGTTCGGACTTCTTATCGTATTTTAATTCGTTTATACAAAAAAATATATACATATTATATTTATATTTATTCGAGATACAAGTAAAAATAAAACACAAAAAACATTTATTTAAAAAAAGTTACAGAAATATCCAAAAAGGTGATTCTCTGATTTATACAAGTATTCAATAGGATTACTTAGTTCTATGATTTTTAGTAGGTATATAGTTTTTGTCTAGGTAATACATAGATTAGGTCCAAAGTAAAAATACTTAGATCTAATGTATGATTGAATGCACAAAAGAAATATTATTTTGAAAACTAACACCGGAATACTGATAGGATACTCAATATTCAATTGTACTTAAATATCATCGCACTTCTGTCATTTAAAAAAAAATGTAGCGACAGAACTATACATCTTCTTTGGCAACCGAGTCTCCAATACTATGTTGTCGACTATACTGCCAGTGTCAGGTGGTAGAACTATACTTAATGCCACTTAAAACTGAGTGATGTTTAAGTATTTGGACATAATTATGACATTATTTTATATTATGTAACTAATTTTGTCGTATTAGGCTAAGTACCTGTGAAGATTAAATTAGCTGTTTTCTGATATAAATAAAAATAAATAAAAATTAATAAACAATTTTGATAAACAATTAAGTCAAAACGGGTTCGATTCCCGGGTCGGGCAAAGTATTACTGGGTTTTTAAAAAATTCTCAGTAGTAGCACGGAGTCTGGAATCGTGCCCTGTATATGGCAATAGGCTCACCACCTATTTATTACATGGGACTCATAAAATAGTTAAAAGTGGGTCTTACTTCTGTGTGCACCTCTGCCTACCTCTTCGGGGATAAAAGGCGTGATGTTATGATGATCAAAACATACCTCAACCACAGAAATTCAACGATAATTCTCCCCCCACAGATCATTACAAGGTTCATTGACGCGCAGCATCGACACGGCGTCAACGCTTCCATTGTCAACAGGCAATGGCTCGCAAAATAACACGTTACAACGAACGACCAAGTCTTCAGATGAAACGGACGCAATTAATAGTCTGGGACTTCCAGTCGGTGACGGTTAGTATAAGATTTTTTAATAAATAGTTAAGTACAAAGCAAATATTGTGTCTTTAATCTGTAAAGGGTTAGGTTATACAATACATATTTCAATGTAACACCCACTCTATAACAGTTATATTATTGCTATTATAAATTGGAAACTACAATTCCCTATTTTATAATACCCATACCGTCGTGGTGGCCCGGAGGCTTAAGACGCCTGCCTCACATGCACTTCAGGGCAAGTACCAATGTGACTTTTTCCGAGTTAAACGTACTTTCTAAGATTATTTAGATACCACTGACAAACGGTGAAGGAAAACATCGTGATGAAACCTGGGCTTATAAAGTCTAATTGTAAGTTTGTAATCGACCCGCATTGAGCAAGCGTGATGATTAATGCTCAAACCTTGTCCGTGTGAGAAGAGGCTTTGCTCAGCAGTAGGCATTTATAGGCTGTTAATGGTGATAATACAATTTGGATTCAGTCCATTCGAAACTGCACTTTCGAACGAACACCTACCTTCATTGACAATTTAATTTGACGTTTCAAATGTGTACAAATAAGGAATTATTATATTGAAATAAATGCTTTGATATTCAACTCTGAAGTCTCTACTATTACTGAAAAATAATGATAAACCGAAAATACCCGAGCAGGAAATCGAATCTAAGATACCTACATCAAACCTACTACACCTACTACAGAAAACGAAAACGGTAACATTCGTAGCTCGTAGCTGCGACGAAAAATAGTTCCCATACTCTAAACTAGATGGCGTTACCAGTCAAGATTATAAAAACGTATATTATGAAAACGTAAAAATTGTATCTGACAGTCTATTTTTGTTTGTAGCGTCCCCGACACCAATATACGCCCAGCCGAACACAAAACCTCAACCTAATGTTGATTTGAGGTACTCTGCTACGTATGGGAACCCGTATTTGAGGAATAGCAATATGGGTAAGTTATAGTCAGCTATTTTCTATTTTATTCTGGTGTAGTTAAAAGGTTTTGTTCTTTTATAAGTGCGAATGCAAAATATTAACCTTTCAATCCCTAAAGAGCCAGACAAAGATGTTAGAATCTCAAACTCCGTACTCGACAGTTGCTCTCCACTTTACTAACGAGCCAATTTTGTTACCTACGTACCTAAATACAAGTCGTCACATCTACCTCCCATTGGGGTAGGCAGATACAATAGAACGCCGAATTTCATTAAACGTCTCTTAATATCATTTACGATCTATGACTGCACGGTTGGCGCGGTGGTTGGGCAACTGACTGCCGCGCAACGTGTCGCGGGTTCGATTCCCGCACGGAACAACTCTTTGTGTGATCCACAGATCGTTGTTCCGGGTCTGGGTGGCATGTGTATGTGAACTTGTATGTTTGTAAACGCACCCACGACACATGAGAAAGTCCTAGTGTGGGGCAATGTTTTTATTAATAAGAATTATAAGATCTAAAAACCCAGAACCTCAAACTCAAAAAACCTCAAATTAAAAAAAAACCTCACTCTCAAAAACCTTTAACGCTTTCATACAGGTTACAGCAGCCAAGTGCACACAGCGAAGCCAGCGTCTACACCAGCACCGCCGCCCTACTCGGCAGTTAGAAACTCTGCCGTTATGCCTACAGGTAAATAGGCGTCCGTGATAAAGGGTAAGCAGGATTCCTTATTGAGAATGCTTTTACCTTTTTTGTTATTAATCTTCTAAAAATATCGTGTCATGACCTTCTTTTTTAGTCTTTATACTAAGTATATTTTTAACTTTGGTAAAATTGTGGTGAAATTATGTATTGTTTTCTTCTACTGTATTATTTAATTGCTGACTTAATTTATTTATTACGAATGCACTGACTTCAGCATCAATTACTTTATGACACAAAGGCCAATGCAATGGTTGAGTCTTTTTTTTTTAAACTGAAGTACTTTATGACACAAAGCCAATATATAAGGTGTAACAAAAATAGTGCACAATATTTTAGTAGGTCAATTGTATGTGATAAACATCATTTTTTTATATTAAATATTTTATAAAAACTTATCAATTATTTTTAATAATTCAATTATTCATTTATAATTTTCATTGATTTTTATGCCATCCTGCAATATGTACCTATTCCTATGTACCTATTCGAAAAGCTCGGTCGTTGACCCGTAAGATAAACGTCCGCGCGCATCCATACGGCTGGCGTTTTTCGTATAAACACAACAACAATTTTGCAAAATTAAATGTGATGCTAAATTTAATTAAACATTTTTTTTAGGTAAACATAATCCTTATCATGTACTATATCACCTGTTAAATTATTGTGCACTATTTTTGTTAGACCTTATAATGCTTAAGTCGTTTTGAAAAACTTAAGTAACTGTTATTAACTAATTAGATTTTCATCATCTCTGCTTCCTTAGTAGAATTTAAATAATATAGCATGCTATATATTAAAGTTTCACTACATTAGACTAACTAAACATTTACACAGATAAATAAAATTTGAGTGTCAGTTTGTAATATAAAAATAACCGCTGTTCAGTACATGCATAATAATATATCTGTACAGTACAAGACACATGCCAAAGCATTTTTTTTTAAATTTTTGTCTGTCTGTACTGGCTAATCTCTAGATTGGCTGGACTGATTTTGACAGGATTTTATTAGCAAGTAGCTCATGTACTAAAGAGTAGTATAGGCCACTTTTATTTTGGAAATTTGAAACGAAAAAAAGTTATGTCTAAAAATTCATATTCTACGCGGTCGAAGTCACTGGCAACAGCCAGTCTGATAATATAATAAAATACTAAGTATAATAACAACACAAAGTGCACGTAACTAATTATTATTATATCGCTATGCAGCTATGGACATTAATTTGTCGACGCCAGTTATCGAACTGGCTATACACCTATGAACATTGCTATTATCGAACACACGTAACATAATTTTGTGTTATCCTCCAAATGAATTAAAAGTCTCGTACCTCTGAACCAACTAAACTAACCCAGTTACCAAAATCAAAAACATATCATAACATCACGCCTTTCATACCCCGTACGGGTAGGCAGGGGTGCCTTTACAGCTCTATGCCACTGTACAATGTAACATACAATTTTCACTATTTATATTATGAGTCCTATATAATAGGGGGTGAGCCTATTGCCATATACCGGGAACAATTCTAGAGTCCGTGCTACTACTGTGATTTTTTTTAATCCAGTAATACTTTGCCAGACCCGGGAATCGAACCCGAGGCCCTTTCTTGCCCGGCAATCGCGCTTGCGGTCGCAAGTATCGTCTTGTCACTCGTCCAAAGTTAAAAGCAGTCTCTAAATAACCTAATATCGATATAAATACACTAATAAACAAACAATCATATCTATCCAGTCTGGAAAGTTCTATTGGCAAGTACGTTCAGCCATCGTGAGCTCAATTGTTTGTGTTTAGTAACTTCCACTGAATTACGATCGATCTCACCGCAACGTGTTGCCAAAGTCGCATAAATCTAATTGCATTCGAAGTGAGACTTGAATTATTTATTGGTCCAACTTGCTACTTAAGTTCGTAGTTTTATTTTCGGGGTTCGATTGGCAATGGGGTTTTTTGAGATCGGGGTTTTAGCGGTTTTGTGGATCGGGTTTTTTGTGTAGGTGCAAAGTTGTGCTGCAAACTGGCAACATTTATTTATTGGATTTATATTTATAGTAGTTAATAGGTTTTTGACTTTGTGGTGCGGTATAATCGGTAATGAAGTCAATATTTAATGAAGTTAATGTTATGTATTTCATAATTATAGCATTGTATGTAAGTTAGGCCTCCTTTCTACGACGCGTCATTTAATGAATGCATGCAACCTACAAATGACGATAGAGAATTTGTATGAGGAGCGATTGAAGCCACGTTGTCACTTCGTGGACAGATTTCATTGCTTCTAAGCAAAATAGGAGCATTCATCATTTGTAGGCCGCCTATGACGCCTCGTGGGCAATAAACCTTAGTCGAATCAATAACCTAACTGCCAAACAAGCTTACATCCCTCCAAAGTTAAAAACCAAGAAACTGGCAATAAATAAAACAATTTCAAGAACACGATATTAAAGCATTAGGTACCTACATTTTATTAAAAGAAGTTCTAACCGCCGTACCGGAATAGACTAGTTACATAAAATATACGAACCAATTTGTATTCCATATTAAAAATAATAAATGATCATTTTTACTTTTACTTGAACGTTTTTTTCGTTATATCACTTAAGTTAATTGTGCTCATTTTTTACAGGTAATGGCAGTCACCCTGCTCAAGGCACCCACGTATAGCCGAGGTATATCGTAAGACTAGTGTAAAATGGACTCTTGAAAAATCAGCTGAAAAACGCTGAAAGTGTATCATACTATGTTCCTGAATTTTTATATGACTGAGGTGTATATACGATAGAAAAAGTCTGAAGGCTTGTTTATTAATTTTAATAAAATGCATCGAAGAATGAATTTATTTTGTAGAATGAGTGCAAAAGAGATCTTTAAACACAGAGATTTCAAGTATTATAATGATAATTTACTCTGAAAAGTGAATTTATTTTCAGCAAAATATTAAATTATTAATACTTCTGTGTTGCTCTTTTGCATTCACTTTCGTACTTCGAATTATAATGACTTGAATAATTTATTGGATTTCGAAAATAATGAAATATTTCGACTGTCTCTGTATTAATTATTTTGCGTTAAAGCGTCAAAATAATTGGATAATATAATTATGATTGTACTGTGCAATTCTATTGCTTCGTGTTTTGTATAAAATTAAATGAAATATATATTTTTGTAAATACAATGAATAGTTAAATGCATGAAAATAATAACTTTCTAATTCTTTTTTGTAATAATTAAAATATTTTTATTACATTCTGTATAAAGAATTTTATCCGCAATATTACGAGTGCATTTTACATATTAGTTTACAGATTTCTTTTTTATTTTTGTTCTTATCAAATCCAAATATTTAGCACTTTACAATTGCTCAATAAACAAATCGGTTAACGATTTTTTTATAATTCCAATAATTTCCAATTAGTATAATAATATTATTCATTTGTTGTATAAACTATACAGACTGAAAAATAAATATTTTATAAATTTTATATAGAAAGAAAAAATATGTACGTAAAAAAATTTTAGTTTTTTTGTGCTGTATCGAAATGAATTAATTTTTAACATTCTGTTTGCTGTCGCTTAGTTTGTTTAAACATTTTCTACGACAGTTCGATTAGATAGAGTAAATTAATTAGCTAAAAATGTCAATGATAGAAAAATCATATTTTCTGTGATAATTATATAGTGAAAAGAAATTAGGATCGCATCTTAATAGTTCCATAAAATTAAATATATAATAGGTAAGTTTCCGCATAATGTGTGACGACCCAGAAATGTATAGTTTTAAAGAATACCCTTTATATTCGTGTGCCACTATTATAATTTTTATTTTCATTTAAAATGTAAATAGGTATTAAAAATGTAAGTTATTGCAGCTTTACAGAATATCACCTCATTGAATGGGCATATTAATGGCAAAATAACAAATTTTTGTTGTTAAAAAATTAAATGAAAATATATAAAAATATTGCATGATACAGTGTTTTTGTTCTTTGCATGCGACTATTATTTGTCATTATTTTTAATGAATAATGATACTATCAGAATAAAACTTTTGATTTTATTATAGTTTTTGTTGTTTTATTTTTACTTGTCTATTAAGTCCCACCAATGTTTGGAAGAGTTATTGAGGGAGGCCTATGTTCAGCAGTGGACGTCCTATGGCTGGTATGATGATGATGTTGATGATTAAGTCCTAATAAAAGGTTAAATGGAGGACATAATACCTACTAGTGTTTAACCGACTTCAAAAAAAGGAGAGGTTCTCACATTTTGTTACGTAAATATCAACATTCACACACACACTACTTTAAAATCTCTTTCTGTTCTCTAGCGATCACCAAAACTTACTCTTCAGAAAACAAAAAACTAACTTAGTCTAGAGAGAATCTAGTACTCATTGTAGACCTAAGTTCATCCATCAATTACTAGATCTTAGGCCATTATCTAAGACATTAGCACCAATGTAGATGTACTAGGTACAATCGTCGCTTCTCACTTATCTCTCAATGTTTTTATCAAGTGTCAGACATATTTGAAAAAATACTAGATGAGCTTTTGATGGAGTCTGCAGTAATAATTGTGATGTGTCTCCGAGAAAATAGGTTGATAGTACTTTGGTACATATATATGTTGAATGATTAAGGCTTTGCCTGCGACAGCGACTTTGTTTTACTTTTAAAACTTTTTGTTTGCGAATAAAATATTTTGTATAGAGAGAAAGAAAGATTGACAGACTGAGCAGCTAAGGTCGGAATACTGTAACGCTACTCAATTTTAAGTCGTGCTTAAGTATAGTTCTATCTCTACAAATTCTTTGTAAAATGACAAAGATGGCAGGATATTTGAGCACGACTTAAAATTAAGTAACGTTTCAGTATTCTGTCAAAAACAAATGATGATGAATCTATCATAAGTGACGGCTGGCAGTCTACAATCTACATGGTATTAAACTGTCAAACACCAAGCGGTCACCGGTGACCGCAACCTATTGTTCTATAATTGTGTCTATGATGACGGTACTCGACGAGTTAAATGAGATCAATGAGTTCAAGTTTCTAATTCTAAAAGAAAAATTCGTTGCCTTGTGTAGACTTTGGCAAACCGTCTCATGAAGGCAAGACGGAACTATGAATGAACTTAAGACGACTGACTCGATCACGCTTATTAAATAAAAGTTTTTTATTTATTTAAGTTTCATGCACAATGTGTACATTAGGTGGACTTAACGCCGCAAGCACTTTCTCCCAGTCTAACCATTGGGTGATGCAGAGAAGAGTTAATGGTGTGAGCAAGAAGCAAGCAACGATTTAATTGAGCAAAAGTTGACATTGCTATGTACCCTTTCAGAGGTTAAAATAAAAGTAACTCTCTTATCGATCTTGAGGTCTCTAGGCGACAATCAACTTAGATTGCGTTGATCCATCTGTCAGTCAAGATAATTTTCATTATATTGAAGTTACATGTTAATGTGAAGGTGTTCTTAAAACATTGACACTGAACATTGACTAAAATAGGATGAGGTTTTCATAAAGATTTTTTGATGGGATAAGGCAGTACAAGAATACACCTGATGGTAAGCAATCGGCGTCGTCTATGGACACCCGGAACACCAAATGCATTACAAATGCATTACCGGCCTTTTGAGAATTAGGAATTTGAGGATTGTTGGGGATTGAAGGATTGGGGTGATCGGGGAAGGGGAGGGAGGTAGTTGGGCCTCCGGTAACCCCACACATACGACAAAACACAACGCAAGCTTTGTATCATATCGGCGTGGTATCGCTCCGGTCAAGCTTTATCAGATTTACAACTCAGTCTTAAATGCATACGATTTTAACTCGTCGAGTACCGTCATTATAGACACAATTATAGAACAATAGGTTGCGGTCACCGGTGACCGCTTGGTGTTTGACAGTTTAAGAGACTTTTTATATGTTCGCGATGTTTTAGCCCTTCAAAAGAACTTTGTATAGGTAGTAAGTAGCTACATGTTGTACCTATTTCAGTAATTTGGGTATTCGTTAGACAATTAAAATTGATGAATAACATTTACGATGCTTGAGTTCATGTCGGTCAGTCGTGCTTGCGTTGCAAATATTAGTCTCTTTTTAGAGTGATGGCATTCTAACTACAATCCGCAAAAAATTATAATTCTAACCATTTTCCCTTATGCTCAAACAATAATATCCAATCCCAGTCACCATAGGCTAGCAATGTATCACATGACATTAAATTCCTGGAATCCACACTTACAAGGAAATCAGAAGGAATGTGGCAATACTTACAATAGACACCATATATAACAATCGTATTGATTTTCAACCTCAGTTCCTTACCGCAAGATGTCACTAGAATCGCTAAGCAAAAATGCCGACTGACTGGTTTGTATTTGCGGTTGGGATAAAGAGGAGTGTAGTGGTTAATTGTATGGTTGTTAATGTGGAGTCCTGTGTTTGATAAGATGATAAAGCAATAACGCTTTCGTTGTTTGTTACGAATTATTTATTGAAGGTTATCTAATGGATGCAAAATGCAGGTCTGACAATGAACTTAAATAAGACGAAATTAATGACCAATTCTCTATTATCAGAGGAGATCAGAATAAACGGTCAACAATTAGAATACGTTGACGAATACATTTATTTGGGACAAATGGTATCATCAACAGGAAACATAGAGAAAGAAATCGAAAGAAGAATAGCAAATACTTGGAGGAGATTTTGGTCACTGAGTGAAATCATGAAAAATAAAGAGATGCCAATGGCGGCGAAGCGGAAAGTATTCAATGTCTGCATCTTACCATGTCTAACATATGCGTGTCAAACCTGGGTCTTAACCGAACAACAGCAAAATAAAATAAATATTTGTCAAAATGGGATAGAGAGAAGCGTGTTGGGATTAAGAAGAAGTGATAAAGTACAATTAAAAAGAATAAAAGAACAAACCAAGTTCGGGAAAGTCCAAACCATATGCAGGAAAATGAAATGGCAATGGACAGGTCATATGGCGAGAGAAAAGAAAGAAAAATGGACCAAAATAATAACTGAATGGTACCCGAGAGGAAATACAAGAAGCAGAGGAAGACAAAATAAGCGATGGGAGGACGATATCAAGAAAATAGCAGGTCCAGAATGGATACGCATAGCACACGACAGGGACAAATGGAAAGCCTTAGAGGAGGCCTTTGTCGAAAGACAAGCTGTTAATAATAAAGAAAACCAGCAGAATGCCGAGTAGATTTTAAGTTTAAGATTTTAGTTAAGTTTCATATTTTTAAATTTTTTGTTAAATCAGTTGTTAAACAGCAATAAAGGCTTATATTATTATTATATCTAATGGGTTATCAACGCATCATGATAATATAGGGTTCAGTCACTGCTATCGTGCAGTAGCTCGGCTACTCTGCAATATTTCACGAGTTCGATTACTGGGGAAAAAGTAGAGTAGGGCATTTTCTCTTCATTACATTTTGTTAATCGACTTCAAAAAGAAATGGTTCTCAGATTGACCTGACTGTATAATATTTATGTTTGTGTAGATTTCAGAAAAATGTTTGTCATACTTGGGAAACACCTTCTCCCAAGTATATTAATTATTTAGACTTCAAAAAAGAGGGGGTTGTAGTCGGTTTTTTTAAACGGAGTTTAAAACGGGCGCAATTCCAAGCTCCGTCCTACAACTGAGATTTTTTTAAAAGCCAGTTATACTTAGCTAGATCCGAGAATTTAACCTAAGACCTCTTGTCCAGCAATCGCACTTGCGACCAATTCGCCAACGAGGCAGTCTTATTCGTTAAGTACTTATAAGTTATGTTTGGTCTTATTAAAATGGCACTAAGAGCGTGGCGATTACTAACACAGGAAGATAATTATATTTCTGAGAGTATCTTCCCAGAAAACAAGGCGAGATGTCTAAATAAATTAACCGAACTTAGAGTTAAGTTTTAACTGTAAACTTTGTATTTGATAAACAAGATAATATTGATTTAACTGTACAACTTAAGATGAAATAATCAGAGAAGATGAAGTTCGATTTATTTGAACTTACCGACTTTAGTCCTGTTTAGGTTTCGCTTTAAAGTTAGAAAATTAAAAGTTATCCAATGACTTCTCTTGCCTAATTTTAATTGAGGCGAGAGGGAGAGAGCGTGTATCAGAGTCTTACTGATTAAAAACCACCCCGTTCCTACTCCTGCTCCTCTGAGC